CCAATAGTAGCAGCAATATTCCAGTTTTTGGTTCCTGGAGTGGCTGTTTTGTTCCCTGAGGTTGAGCACAGCTCCCAGTGCAGGAAGATGCTTTTGAAGGTTTAAGAATGAAAACAATTTCTTGCTTCTTTTGTACCTTGAAAGCAACTGCATCAGGTCTGGAAGTGCAAGGAGCTCTCCCCAGCTAACTACTAGAGGTTGCTTTCTGTGTGGTGTTTGATGACACATAATGTAGCCCAGGATTTCAGAGAGCTTTTGAGGCACTTGGGTCAAATTTGGAATGAACTTAGATATTACTTTTTTTTTTTTTTTCTTAATTTGGAAAACTTCTGCAGCCTGTAGGTGCTGCGTGTTTCCAGTGTGCACCTGGTATTTGCTCTGAGTCTTTGGGTCTGTTGGAATCCGAAGCCAGGAAGGTTCATGCAAAGTGTTGTGACCCAAAACTGTTCAATCTCAGATCTGTGGTCTCGGAGCCCCAGCCTGACTTGAGTACCTGATGAGTATCAGCTGAGCAAGCATCCCAGCATCTGACTGCTGCCCATGAACCATAAACTTTTTCCTCAGGGAACAAGGAAGTAAATTGGCCTTTGTGCAGGAACAGCCAGCTAGGCTGGGGCCGTGGCTTCCTCGTGCTCCATACCAGACCCCACGGTGCTCTGCTGCAAAGTTCTCCTTCCTTCTAAGTGAAGCCATATGAAAAAAAAAAAAAAATCTATTCTTGAGAGTGGCTGAACCAACCAATTTGTTCAAGCTATTCTTCTGGTTGATTCATTTTTAACTGAAAAAAATGCTGATATATTGAAAGCAACCTGAGAAATGCCAAAAAGGAAGAAGGGGAAACAAGCTAAACCATTTGAAGCTCATAAAAAAAAAAAAAAAAAAGAATTTAAGTGCAACCACATGAGTGGTGTAAAATCAGTGTAATACTTAATCCCATGTTACAGCACAATGTGTTAGATATCAGTTCTTCTAGAAAATAAGGCCCTAAAATAACTTAATATTTATGACTGAGATTTCACAACATGATCAGCTCACTGTGTCATGCTTGCAAGGGAAAAAAAAACCCTTTGAAAGATCCACCAAGATAAGTCTTCATTTCACTTGGCCAAGGTTTTTACTTGAATGCTATTCTCAACTACTTCTTTAGATCAACATAACAGAAAAAAAAAATTCCCTGAGAGCCTCAGCAGGACATGGCTTGAAGAAAGAGATGGACCCAGCTTTGTGGAACACCTCTGTGTAAGTGCTCTCAGGGGAAAAGAGTGATGTGTAGGAGAAATGTAAGGGAAGGGCTGGTGCCACAAGTTCTTGGCTAAAATGTGCTTCACTGGCAGAACATTTAACAGAGCATCAGCATTCAGTGATGCTTTGCTGGACTCCCTTTCTTGCTAACACTTTAAACTCACTTTGTCCTTGACAAACATTGATTTTACCTTATGCCCAACAGTAATTTGGCCAGGCAGAAATTTATCCATCCAGCTGAAGGGCTGGGAGGCAGCAATCCAGCCTCTCAGTCATGGGAACATGGGTCAAGGACTAGACTTGGTTTAATTAAGGGATAAAAAGACATTAAACACACATAGTGCCTGTTCTCCTTGGTGTTGATGGATTATGATGGTGTTCATTGAGCAGCCCAATTTGCAATGGGTAAATTAGCTCAAACAAAGGTTATTTACTGTGCTGTGGACAAGTACATGGGTTGGCTTGTGACAATATTTTATGTGAATAATAAAGTGATGTTGATTTTTAATATTTCATTTACTTTGCAACAGTAGATGACATAAGTGGCTGCTACCCAGCAATTGTGTTTACTATGAACTTTTTACCTTGTTTCTGAGGAGCTATTCTTTAGATACATCCATCATCTCTTCCTCATAATATTTTCAAATAGCAATATATTTCATTCTCTTTCTTTGTCTTTGGGTTACTAAATCTATCATCTTACTGGGAAACTTATGGCATTGTCAGAAATTGCATATTATGCCCTGGATTAAGGCTGTTTAGCTTGAACGTGGCAAGTTGTTTAAAAATAGACTGTTAAGCTTTGTATTCATTCTCCACTCCAAAACTCTCTTTCATAACAATGTAAATAAAGGACTCCCAGAACTGATACAGTGGGGCTGGCACAGTAAGAAGAAAAGACTCAGCTATTGCCCAATTTACTTTAGTGCAACATGAATCTTAATTATATTGAACAAACATCAGACTGTGAGGTCTTGGGAGATGGAGTCATTAGGTAACCATTTACAGGGAGCATTTGTCTTCAAGCAACTTCCCAGGCCTCCTTAATTTCTTCTGTAGTTTGTTTAAGGGGTTGAAAAGGAGAGGTGTGATACGGATTCACATTATGGCCAGTTCATTAAGCAGTATCTAAAGCTGAGCCCCCAGGATAAGTTGAAATTGCTACAACAATTATTTCCAATTGTTCTGAGCATAGACACTGTCACATCTGCAGAGTTTGGGGTTGCAGGTGGCATTAGTGACTCCTGGGCTGCTCCTCTGTGCTGCTCTCTCCTGTGGGAGCTGGGAGGTCTCTGTCCTGCTGCACCACAGAATTGACATTGCAACTCTTGCCCAAACTTAGTACTGGATTTGATATTTTTCCTTTTAATTCCCACCAAATTTTTTTTCTCCTCAGAAGCATTTCCTAACTCAGCTACTGAATAGAAGCAGGATTCTAAATGTGGTTTCCAAAATACTACGTTTTTGTAACCAAATTGCTTTCAGATAAAAACAGCAAGTAAAACAGATGAGAACAGATTTTAATTTTTTTCCTCTCTTTGGTTTATCTCACTTGCCACAAGCAATATCTCTGAAATATATTTGTAATTCCATGCACTGCACCCACTTTACAGATTTCCTGGAAGGGAAAGAATTATAAGATCACAGAATGGTTTGGGTTGGAAGGAATCTTTAAAGGTCATCCAGTTCAATCCCCCTGCAATGAGCAGAAACATCTTCAGTTAGGTCAGGTCAGTCAAAGCTCCATCCAACCTGACTTTGAATGTTTCCAGGGACGGGGTATCTACCTTCTTTCTGGATAGCCTGTGTTGGTGTAGACAAGAGTAAATTTTTCCCATGTGGTGTGAAGTATTAAGAAATTCCTTAAACTTGGGAAAAAAAAAACCCCAACCTCTTATTAAGGTCCCTTTTTATACAGAATATGGTTTCTTACAGGTTTCTCGCATTCTCAGTTGAATGGCTCCAACCCAAGCTTTATGTGGGAGCTCTGTGCATCCACCCTTTGATATCAACTCTCCTTTAAGCTGCCTAAAAGCATCAGTACCAAGCCATTACTCTCTTGTTTAGATACTTGGCCTCCCTCTCCCACACCTCCATCAGGACATTTCCTCCTCCCTCAGGAGCAGCCTGTGCTTTCTGCGTGCTGCCAGCAGCAGGGAAAGCAGAATGGTCACTGAGTTTAGATTAAACAGATCCAGGAGGAGTCCTTGGCAAGGCAAGGAAGGATTAAGCAAGGCTGGTGTTTAAAGCACCCCTGCCCTCCAAGGGAGGCTGGAAAGTGTGAGGCTCAGGCTCTGCCTGGAGGTCAGACCCCAAAAATTAACCCAGAAGGTGGTGCAGGTAGAGGGGCTTTCATTGCTCAGTCACCACTGGTCTCCAAGGCTGCAAAAGGTGCTTCATCAGAGCTGTGGTTCCTCTCCAAGGCAGCTGGACTCGGGGATGGAGGAAATAAACCTTTCCCCTGGATGTAAAGTGCTTTCAGGGAGGCTGCAAATATTCTGGGGGTGGTTTTTTGTCTCACCTGTAGCAACTTGTGAGCAAGTTACTTAGGGAGTAGTGGTAGACATTTCTAGCAATCATTTGTGATTTTCCAGGGCTCCTGCTGCAGGTTGCCAATCCCACAGCGAGGGAGCAGGTGGGATTTGGGTCCCACTGTGAGGGCAGGGGCCCCTCTGGAGCTCTCTGGTGGGCTGGGGAGGGGCAGTGCTGGACTGTATATCCAAACTTCAAAGAGGACAACTCCAGGCTGTGGCTGAAATTCTGGAGGTGCAGTTGCACATTTGAGCACATAAATGTTTATGCAACAGGGGAAACTCTGATAGGAGTGCAAAAATATTTAATGATCTTTGTTTATCATCCTTTTCCAGCAGAAAGGAAAGGGAACAGTGTTGTTTCACAGATAAAAAGCGAGTTCTTGCTTTTTGTTGATGTTGCTGTCACTCAGCAAATACTCCACCAGAGCTGGTGCAGGAGGCTGCAAAAAGGAGCTTTTTCTTTCAGCCTGGTATTGCATGTGCTGTGGAGAAGTGATGCTTCCAGGTGCCAGGCAAGGAATGCTGGCTGCAGCAGAGAGGCTGCAACACAATGGCATGAAGGGCGTGGTGTTATGGCTTTGCCAGGGACATGGATGCTCTGTGTGTGCTGGAGCAGTATTCTGTATCAGAGTTTATTGTTTGAACGCTTTTTTTCCCTTAATTAAGGGTATTTTGTCACCTGTGGCATTTTACTGATCCCTTAGCCATTGCTGCCCAGTAGGGTAAGAATACAGCAAGTTTTATATCTGAAATTAAAAATGCATGACCAGATCTAGGCTGTGTCAGCAGTTGCACAGGAGCAGCTCTGACTCAGATAATGATTAGTATTAAGAGGTTAATGATCATTGTTTTAATACTTTAAATATTGTGATTTGCAAACCCGTAATAGCCATTTGCAGCATGTGGGGACTGCACAGAAATGCTGCTTGCTCAGCAAAGGATTTTTTCCAGAATTTTGGATCATGTTAGATCCGTGGTTCTCTACTATGTAAGCAATACTGATAACTTCAAAACCTGCTTCCCAGCTTGCCTTGTTTTTTTGTCTGGAATTACGTTGTAGGGGGGAAAAAAAGTGGTATTTAAATTGTGCAGCAAACTAATTGTTTTGGTATTTGAGAAAGGGGGGAAGACATGAGATGGGTCCAAAGGGAAGGCCATGTGGTGGGTGCTCTCCTGACCTGTGTCCATGCTCATCACTAACCCTGTGCTCTCTGCTTCCCACAGGGCCCCCGGGGAGGCGAGGGAAGCCCGGGCGGCGCGGAGAGCCAGGTAAGCATCACCTGCCCTGGCACCGAGGGAATGGGGGTGCCATGGGTGGTGTGGGAGCCTCTGGGGAGTGACACCTGCCACCTCCATCCCACAGGACAGGGGCTTCCTCACCCCTGTGTGCTGGGCATGAAGGGTTTTATTAAAAACTAAAAAAACCAAACCAAAACCAACTCCCAAAACCCTAAAAACCAAAACCAATTTTTTTAAAAATTGAAGGAAGAAACCAGCCAATCAAAACAAAAATACAATTTCACTCAAAACACCCCCAGCTGTTGCATCTTTTATCCATCTTCCCATTTCTCTTTGTGGCATTCAGCCTCATCACTGCCCACCCAACATTGCAGAGGGCCAGTGAAGGAGCATGGAAATAGGGAATTCCCCAGCCATGCTGCATGGGAGGTGTGCACTGGCTTGTTCTCTGCATGTGGACGTGTCCATATGTTGCCTGCCAGCCATGGGGTGGTGGTGTCTGCATTTGGGAGTCAGGAATACCCAAAGCTCAGCCACCAGCCTTGGGCACGTCCCTGAGCATCAGTGTGCCCTCAGCCTGGCTGAAACCACAGAGCCCTGCTGGGGCTTTTCACTCGAGCTGACTGGAATTCTGTGTCTCTGTCACTTCAGTGTATCTGGTGAGGTTTGGGGCTTTATGCCCTCTCTGAAATGGGAAAGGACTGCCCCTGTTTCAGCTGGGGAGAGGGGCTGTTTGCATTCTGCTGTTGGGTCCCATGGCAGCTGGAGAAGGGAGAGATGCAGCTGGTGTTGTTCTTTCTGAGGAAAACAGACAGGGGTGTGCCAAGAGAGCCAGGCAGATTTTGGGATTGCCTCAGTGTGCCAGAAAGCAGCACATGAAATTACATGTCCCAGCTCTTAGGTTCTTGAACACTGACAGAATGAACTGGAGCCAGTGGATTTTCATTTAGTGAGACGGCTGAATTCTGTTCTCTTGCTTCCTCTTGCTATTGAAAATTCACAACTGGGGTTTCAAAAAGGGCAGCATAACTTTGTGATCACCAATATTTTAAACAATTTTTTTGAACTGTGAGATAAGGAAATTGGGTGGGTATGTGCTGCACACCAGGAACAGCACATGGACAAGAAAGGCAAGCAGGCATTTCCCTTCTCTTCCACTGATGGCATTCCTGAGTGCATTAGGGGTTTTCGGAGATATTTTTGTTCCCGAAGCATCAGGGATTTACTCCTGACCAAGGGGTAGGTTCTGATGGGGTGGTGTGGAGCCCAGCCAGCTTTGTAATTTGTTTTATTTTCCCAGCAGCCGGGCTGTAGGAATGGCCACCAGAGCTTTGATTATTTTCTTGTTTTTTTTTTTTTTTTTAAATATCACCTAAGGGCTTTAAGGAGCACAGCAGAACACAGCATTCTACCAAGGGCAGCTGGAGAGGTCAGCCAGTGGGTCTGATCTTATATGCAGGCATTTATGTAAATGCTGTGCAAGATGTGTCTCTGGTCCATACAAAAATCTGGGAGGTAATGCTGGGCTCACACATTCCCGTAAATCTCTTCTCCCTGCTTCATGCAAAACTTTTGAAAAGCAGCAATTTCCCTCGTGCTGTGACACATCTGCAAATGCACTTGAGCTTCCTCACTCTGAGGAAGCAGCAAACTGCCAGGGAATCAATACAGAACCAGCAAGATAACAAGCATTGTAAAAGAGAAAAAAAAATTAAAAATTAATTTAATTAATCATTGACAATTAAAAAAAAAAATCTCAAACCTTAGTAACAGCTTTTTTGAAATTTCTGCAGTTGTGGAGGAAAATAGAGAAGAGTGCAGCTGCCACCCACTGCACACAGCCACACACTCAGTGAAATCCAAGGAATGCAGTGCAGAGCCTGCACTGCCCCACTGCAGATGCACAGGGAGCAGGCATCCCGCTGTCTGTTGCTTTTGGCTGAGCTGGCTGGTGTTTGTTTCTCCAGATAACTTGAATATATATTTCTATATCTGTTTGAGAACCTGACCACACATAAACTGGGCCCTTGTTCCTTCACTACAGCTGATAAATGTGAATAAATCTTTGTTTGTGTAGCATGCTGGTGTCCATCCCCAGGGACCCTGCCTGGTCAGGGCTTCACAGCCTCCAGACAAAGGATGTTGAAGAGCCAGAAGGCTCAGCCCTGCCAAGGGAAGTGTTTTTCTTTGGCTTTTGTTGAAATAGTCATGTTGAAAAACCTTTTCAGATTATATTGAAGCTTTCAATGTATACCCCTAAGAAACAAGCAGAAAAACTGTTAAGAGATACTCCTGTCCCTTTTAATCACACCCTCTTGTTGATCTAAACCAAGACTGAATTTTGCTTTTTTCTTCTGCCATGATGGATTCAGATGAAATAAATTAATCCTACAGCTCTGTTTCTCTAAACTAAGAATTCATCATCATGAAAACACATTGGGACAACTGCTCTCTTCCACAGATATGCACCATTCCATAAAAGATTAATTTTTAAACCATTTCTGGCAAAAAAAAA